TTCCTTTATTAGGTTTCAAGGCCTGGGAATAACCCTCGATGGCTCTCAGTTGCATTCTCTGGGCTCTCAGTTCTGCCCTGTGTGTCATCCTTCCTTTTTCTTGAAAGGTAGCAAGCAGCTGTTTGCAGCTAAGTAGCTTTACAGGCTTGCTTCTTGCTAGTTTTATTTTGGGGGTCCACCCAGCTCCTTCCATTTCATATTCCCTGTTTCTTTCAGTCCCAGTTGGCAGAGTTTGTGTTGATGTAATTTTTTCAAGAATATTGTGGGTCTTATGTGAATTTTACAGAGGTTCACTCCATTAAACAATATGCCTACAAATTTTTTTAAGATCCTCCCTTCTCTATCTTTGGCTTCCACTGAGATAGCTGAGGGACAACATTCTTAAGCAACCTAGTGGCCCTCTGGTTTGATAGAGATGATCTACGAGGAAAACTCTTACTCTCCTAGAAAGGTCTTCTAGGAAACCTAGTATGGCTGAATACTCTAACTTTTTTTATCTTTTACAGGTTTCAGCAAAAGTTGTACAGTCACACCCTCAGCCTTTTCTCTACACCAGCTTTCAGGAGCCATTTCTAAATTTCAGCATCTTTTGTAATCTAGATAGGATGAGAATTTCCCAATTTATCAAGTCCTAGTTCCTTTTTGTTTAACATTTAGTCCCTCAATTTCTCTCTCTCCTCCTGCATTTCACTATAAGCAGCAATAAGAAAACAGACTATACATTCAACATTGTGCTTGAAACCTCCTCAGCTAAACAACCAGGTTCATCATTCACAAGTTCTGCTTTCCACCTAACTGCAGGAGACAATTCTGCTAAGCTTTCTGCCACTACATAGCAAGGATTCTCCTTTCCTCCAGTTTCCAAGAACATGTTCTTCACTTCCTTCTGCCTTTATGAGCAGTGTCCTTCAAGTCTAGATTTCCACTATGTTCTAGATAATTTAGGCTTTTCTCTATCATGCTCTTCAAAATTCTCCTCCAAATTCTTTCAGCCTTCACCCACTTGTGATTCCAAAGCTACTCCCACATTTTTAGGTATTTGTTATGACAGCATCTCACTTCCTGGTATCAAAATCTATATTCGTTGTCTATTGCTATCTAACAAATTACCATAAACTCAGCAGCTCAAAACGACACTTATTTATTATCTCACATTTTCTGTAGGTCAGGAGTCCAAGCAAGCTCAACCGGATTCTCTACTTAGGGTCTCACAAGACTGAAATCAAATTTGCTGCTGGGCTGGTCTATTATCCGGAGGCTCTGGTGAAGAATCTACTTCCAAGTTCATTTGGGTTGTTAGCTGAATTCAGTGCCTTGCAGTTGTAGGACTGAGGTCCCCATTTTCTAGCTAGTCACACTGCATAGATTATGCTAATTAAGTATTGTCTGTACAGGAAAGGTTGTGTGTGTTTGTATGTTTGTGAGAGAAAGAATGAAGTTTCATTATTAATGAATGAAGTTTCATTATTAATAAACCATAATAAATAAATATAATATTAATAAATCTAATAAGTTGAATGAAAACTAGAAAACTAGAAATGACAAAAAGGGGAGAGGCCATTCCAGGTTAACTGTTATAGAAAGTAATATTGTACCAAAAACCCAAGTGAAAAAAGTAATTGGAGTTATATACTAGGAAAGAGTACCATATAAACAAAGTTGAGTATATGAGAAAATTGCAAACTATGAGAGGGATACACCATGGTAAGAAGGGTAACTGACAACATTCCAGATATTGAGTATGGCTTAAGAGATGACTACAGTAAGTAAATATTAAACTATACGGCTATTTAAAAACATTTATCTGTCAGGTTCTTATCTGAAAACACTGGAAGCTAATTCTGATGGATTAAGCAGAACAGCAATTTACTAAAGGAACTGGGAGGCCTAGAGAACCAGATTTATGGTTAAGCTTCTCAAGAACAAAACCTAAAACTGTACTGCAGAGCTGATCTGGTGAGGAAACTTTGCTGCTACTCCTGGTGCCAAGGTCTTTTCTTTCCTGCAACTGTTACTGCACAGCACCACCACCATTTCTGCACCAGCAAAGATATTTTAGATTACCGCGGACTCTCAATATCAGATTCCTCTACCATCAACCTCATGCAAACACGATTTGAGTGTAATGTCTGCTTCCCTGTTCAGTCTGTATTGAGGTTTCCGGGAAATGAATATGAGTGACAGATTCTAGGTCACATGGCTCATGCCCTAGCTACTGAGGGACTGGGAAAGGGAATTTTATAGCCTACCTCGGGGAGGTGGGACTATTATTTGGGACTTCCTCAGACATTAGAAGGTTGTTGAAAAGGTACAGAAGAGTGAGGATACATAATAAATGTCCACTACAAAATATCATATATTAAGCATACAAAACACCTAAAATTCACCCATTTTTGTTTTTACCTAACTCCTTTCCCAATTCTCTGATTGGCAGAATCAGAGAATATCAGAGATGGATGGGACCTTAGAGATTATTTGGTTTAATCCTCTCATTTTACTAATGAGAAATCTGATGCCCAAAGTGATGAGATAATTTACCCAAGCTAACACAACTAGTTAGTAGAAAGAACTTATGCTTTTCAACCCTTCATATATTTTCTATCAGTCAATGATCATGGAGGCTTACTTCAAACTATATCTTTATCTTAATGTTAAACTTAAATCTTACCCTTAGGGAAACTCAATGTTTAGTCCTCAGAAAGTCATTTTGGTGACACTGGTCATTTTTCTCTCAGTGTATTGATTTGAAGAGTTCCTGAAAAACTGGCTATAAAACTAAATTTTATATGCAGAGTTCTATTTTTCTATTATTACCCATGAAGATAAACTGTTATTAAGCTTCAAAAAATTGTAAATTTTTTGATTGGATTAAAATTTTCCCTTGCAAAAGACCAATATTCTTGCAATAAGTAATTATTCAAAAGCTACAAGAATAAATGTTTAATTATTGAAAGCACCTCTCACTCATATATTATTACATCTTAAAAAATTAGAGCTAAAATCATGCAAGTAAACTATAATCATATGATTTCTCCATGCAAGTAATATCAAAACTTAAGCAAAGGGAACATTAAGACTATAGCATATACAGAATATGTACATTCTATTAGTATTTTATTTTTATGAGAAAACAATTGATAGAATTATCAGTCTTAACCTCGCAACTGTGGTGCGCTGAGTTGTTTTTGGCACAGAAGCCAAAAATAAGCAATGAGATTTTGAGAAAGTGGAGAAAGAAAGAAGGCAAGAGAGAGGTACAATTAAACACAAGTATTGAATTTGAAAAGTGTGACAATGCAAAGAAAAAAATTCTCTAATGACATAAGATGGATAGTTTTACTTAGATTTAAATATTATGTCTTAGAAGCTATTTATCTAGCACTTCTTTTTGTGAACACTCCTCAGAAATTTATTGTACTGGTTGTTGGAAATATAAAATCAATGACTATAAGCTAACACATGTAACGTAGGTGTATACAAAAATTAGTTTGACCAGAGATAAAATCATATTATTTTCTATGGCTTCACTTTCTTTGTGAAATGAATATAATTAATACAGAACCGGGAACAGATAATTTGAAGGAAATAAAGCAAAACAAAATACACACCTCTTGACGACACAGTCATTCTCTGCTAATTTAAATCAGTTATTTCTATATAAGAATGTGTTTTTCATAGATTAAGTAGTGATCACTCAGACCAAATAATGAGAAAGTTTAAAAATCATACTAAGAATTTCAGAACATTCCATTTTATAAAAAATTGCCTTTTTCCCTCTGAAATATTGCCTGCGCTTTCTTTGTTCTCTCCTCTGATAAACTGCAGATAATCATATTTTTAAAAAAAGGCATTTCCCAAAAATGGTAATTTTGAAATTTAAAATTATAAAAAGTTATCAATTTTCCCAATAAAGGTTAAATCTTATCCCACAAACCCATAGGGATATACTATATTTATCAACACCTTTTCTTTTTTAAAGACGCTGAAATCATCTAGCTAAAATGGTCCAGTTCTATCGTGAACGAAGGTCCTATAAGATCAAATGCTGCATGGTATAAATTCAATGAGAATCTAATCTTGAACTTATGCTTACACTAAAAGTTTAAAAATGACCCTGAAATATTATACCTTTATTTTAAAATATAAATCTATTCTAAAATCTGTATATTTATATTATAAAAATGCTTTTTATTCAATATAACAAAGAGGAATAAATATAATTCATAATTTACATTTACAGCATGTCACCGATTTTCTCACAATCTAAATAACTATGTGGCATAATGTCCCCCTGGTTTAAATAAACAGTGCAGTTCTCCTGTGACTTGCAATGCCTTGTGGGAATTTAGTTAAAAATATGGAGAGAGAGAGACTTGTATGTGATTAGAACCCGAAGGAAAAAAGAGAAAAGGCAGAACAGCTCATAGTACTAAACTTAAATATTCTCTGAGAAACACTGCAAAATCTTTGTTTAAAAAGGGTAGAAAGTAAAAACGAGGCAATTTTTTTTGAACCTTTAAAAATAATTCCATAGTAATTCTGGAAAGATAATCACTCATGACCTACACAGCAGTACATATTCTGTACAAGCAAATACTTTCTGCAGTATATTGAAGACGTGGGGCTAGATAGTTCTTAATGTATCACCTAGTTTTAATCTGGAAGGAAAACAATAAATTCTATAAGGAGTTCAGATGATGTCATAATTAATCATCTAATAAATGTTTAACAAAGGAACAAACGTGTAAGACACTGGGCTAGACTCTGTGGAGGATAAAATAAAACACATAAAATAAATCATATATAATCTTCAAGGGCAACTTTTATAGGTGAGAAAAAATTATACCTACCAATCCAGGGCTTAGAAATTTTGTAAAGGTATGATTACCATGTAAAAAATAGACTGAAAAGGTTGTTGGGTTTATCATAGATTTTAAAAATTGTGTACATTACATACCATGAACATAAACTACGTTCGGGCTATATGATCAGATACTCACAGAATGATTGTAAGAAGGTTCCAATATCACAGGTAATGACATTTTCCCTTGAAGATTCAATTTTGTTAAATAAAAAATCTTTTCCCCCACAATCTTTTCTTTTTTCATGCGATGTACACCATACAGTCTAAACCGAACTGCATAATTTCCAATCATCTCAGATTCAACATGATTAAATTTGAATGTTTCTGTGAAGACAGGGCATGGTCCTCTCTGGATGCTGGTTTTTGCTCTCTGTTTCTTTATAGGTAGAAGAACAAGGTGTACTTGCCATGAGTTGCCACCTGTCCTGTTATATGTTGGGATATCTGTGACAGCTGTCACTGTTACCAGAAGCTTCTGTTCTTGTGAGTCATAGTCAAAAGTCACATCCAGTGTGCCATATTTAGCTTCTGGCTCAGGATCAAAAGGTTTAGGAAGCTGTGAAGATGATCCTTGAGCTGACATATCCTAAGAAAAGCAAATTTAAATGTTTTCAGTTTTTAACTCTATTAATCTAGCATGTAAACAAATATCTGGTATTTCTTTAGGAGGATGATGTAAAAACTATTTTGATTTGCTGCCACAAAGAAAGTAATAATAATTAACAGGCAACTACAATCAAAAGCTACTCTCAGGGCCAGAGAAGTGTAAGTGGTAAGTTAAACTCAAAAACTTATTATCATAAAGACACAATTTAATATTCACCATCACAATTTTGAGAAAGTTGAATATATGTTTTTATAATGAGAATTGAAAATATATACTTCAATGTGTATCTCTGTTCCTTTTGCAGGAAACTACTAAATTTTACTTTTAACATTATAAATAACGCAATTGACAGCTCAATATTAGGCTGGAGAGAAAGAGAACATAAATAAAATTATAATGCTCTTAAAAAATTTGCTCCCATTTTCAGTTTGCTCTAAAATGCCCCCATCTGTAATAGAATGTAAACACATCTAAGCTTGAAAATCGATGGAAATGTGAAATATAAAAGTATAAAATACAAAGGCCTCAAAATCTTTGCAGCCAAATATTTAATTTCCATAACACAATTTACTTCAATTTTTAACCAGAATTAAAAACTACGTATTATTTTCTAATACTAATTACTGTTGAAAATGGCAGAATATACATTTCAAAAGTTCAAGAAAGACTAAAACTGTAAATTTTAATTATGAGATCAAAAGAAATTGAGCCCACTTGACCTGGAATTGTCTCAAATTCCTGTTAGTCTAATTATCTGGAATGTAACAGGAGTTTCTGCTACTGACAGTGCCAAACCCAGGTCTCTGACCTTTCAACTATACCACTTTGCCCCTTCAAGTATTTTAATAAATCTTAAATGTTTTTCATTTTAAAATGTGGACCAATTTTATAATTTACTAAATTTTTCTGAACTTTTATTTAGTGCCTACTGTAGCAGTCACTACTACTGACTCCCAGTCTTCCCTTTTTGCATTTCTCAAAAGAACTGCCTGAGTTTTAACCAGCAGCATACCGTCTAGCAAGAGACTACACTTCAAAACCTTCCTTATAGCTGATATGCCCATGAGACTCAGCTTTGGCCAATGGGAGGCAAACAGAAGTTACGTATGAAATATCCAGATTGGGTTTATAGAAGAAATTACTTGCCCTTCACTCTTTCTCTCTTCCTCTTCCCACAAGCAGATACACGGACAGGATGTGTGGGTCAGCTTGGACCATATGGACTAGGACAACACTCTCAGGGATGGCAGTGTGACAAAAAAGAAGGAACCAGGTCCCTGAATGATGTTGTGGAGCAAAGCCACCGACTCACCCTGGACTGTTGTTAACTGAAAAACAAATAATCTTCTGCGGTTTTTAGCCATCGTACTTGTCTCCTTGTTATAGCACCTTACCACATACCCTAACTATTACACCTACTATGTGCCAGGCCCTATTTCAGGTGGGAGGGATGCAGCAGAGAACCAAAAATACACAAGTGTTTGACCTTATAAACCTTACAGGTCTACCTCCAGTGATCCACTTGGTATCATGTACAGAAGAAAAGATGACAAATGAGGAACAATACTTGGGTAGAGGGAACAAACTCTCATAGAAGAATTCAGTTTTTTATGCCATATGATTAAATCAGGGCAAACATATTCTTACCCTGCCAAAAGATTTACAGTTTAGAGAAAAATATTTTAATGCGTGCCACTTAATAGTCAATAATTAAAGATAATTAATTACATGGCTTTGATTTTTCAATTAAATATTTTTCTAAAATGGTGCCACGACAGCTAAGATTTTCAAGGCAATAAAAATTTTATAAGGTCCTAGATAGCTATTTCTGAATTTTGTTTCTCTTGGTGCCTCCCTATTTTTTTTCCAACAACTCTTGTGAAACTGAGGGTTAAAAGGGTGGGCCCTATACAGATAAAAGCTACTATCTGTATTCTGCAAATAATCCTTCCTTTCAAGGTGTCTGAATCAAAGTTTTGAATAATCTTTAGCTGGCAACAGGTCAGCAGAAGAGTTAATGAACTCCTTGTCAGGGGCTCCTCTGAACCCTCCCTCCTTTCCCAGTTCAATCATGTATGTGGATAGGCTCTAAGATAGCTATATCCTGGATTAAACTAAGAGGAAAGTAAGAATTTTCTATCTGATAAATAATACCTATTACAGGAACAGTGACAAGCAAAATAAACTTGAGAAAAGCCAAGAGTGAGGTTTATACGCTATCAGCATCTAAATATTTATGTAGTGTGCATTTTCTGCATTGTTTGAATATATCCAATTCTGCTACAGAAGACACAAAACCAAGCACGACAGAGGAGACTCATAAGAAGTGTTAACGCAGATAGCTAGTTGGCAGGTTCTGAAATATGAGCAAAACCCATAGGCTGTATTAACTATAGATAATGAGTAAAGAAGTAACTTGAGAGACACAGGCAGAATTCAGAAGATGTGTTAAATATAGATAGTAACTAAGTTAATAACTTGTAAAATATGCTCAAGATAGAATAAATAAAAAACATAATAGAACAAATGAGTATTACCTATGAAAAGAGATGGAAAGTCCAAGTCATGATCATGTCACCTTTCGGCTGACAACTCTGTCACCCATGTGTCCTATTTAAGTTATGCAGGTAAAACCTATGTCTATTTAGTAGGCTAACAGGCAAGTTTCACCGGTGGCCAGGAATACTTGCCCCTGAAACTCTCCCATAAAACAAGTTGAGTGTTTTTGGCTCTCAGCACCCTTGTTCAAATCTCATCTCTTGTCCTTGTTACCACACTATAAGTAGGGAATGGTGACGGAGCAAAAAGAGTGAGACGGGACATATGGGCATTACATAAACCAGGATTCCTATATTATGTTCCTGTCCCCGTACCCACTGGCATCCTATCCTAAGCGTGTTAACCTACCTCATCTGGCTTCTCTTACTTTTGCTTTACATTTGAAATAGATTAAAACACACACATACACACACATTTGCATGCACACACACACACACAAGTATAATTTGAGCACCTTAATTTGGTCTGTGAGTCCTCTGAGATAGCTTGCTTTGTGGTGTACATGGAGGGTACCACCACATCAAAGTAATTTCCCACACAACAATTTAGGTGAAGAGGGGCAATATAATATAGTTGTTAAGACTGTTTTTGCAGTCAGCCAGATCTGGGTTTGAATTATAGCTCCACCTTTTAAGAGCTGCCTATACGTGGGCAAACTGCTTAACTCTCTGAGTCTTAGTATTTTCATCGTAAAACAGAAATAATAACTTTCTGAAGACAAGGTTGTTAGAATTAAATGAGCTGACTATCTAAAACTCATAGCAAAATTCCTGGCACAATTGGTGATAGCAATTATTGTTGTTATCAATTCCACAATCCAGGCTTCACTGTTAATTTGCTGGCTATCTATATAGTTTGCAAACCTACAAAATAGCTGTCTTAAATTTGTTCAGGTATAGAACACAGAGAAATATTCTTTGTGGAAGATCAAGAAACACTGATGCATTAAACTTAAAATACCAATGTAGAACTTTCTTTCAGGTTAGATACTATAACACTAGAAATAGTAGAAAAGTAGTAAGAGATAAAAAGTGTTTTCAGAAATTATGTAAGAAAAACTTTAAAATTAAGGAAATTCTACTCCTAGCTCTACTTCCATTATTTAATTTTGGCAGTAGATGAAAATTCACCTAGAACACTGACACACTATCATATTATGAAATGCTGTTGGGGACAAAAGTTGTAAAAACTTGCAGTCTAAAAGAAAGAAAGTCCTAGAAGTTAATACTGTCTATGAAAATCTCTAGATTACCTTTATATCATAATCATAGAAGGATTAAAACAAATCCCTTTTAGCACATGGAAAGACTTTAAAAGTGTAACACATCTATTTTTGTTGTCATTTTCACATTTTTGCTCCAAAAAAGGAAATAACTTAAAACGCAACCAAATAACCATTCTGAATGAATGATGCATGAATTCAAATCATTAGTAAAGCTGAGCATCACTTACCTCTTCCATATTCTATGGTATGAAAATGCAAACAGATTATTGTGAAAGACTTGTAAAACATTAATGGGCAACCTCCTAACAGAAAACTATCCAAAATAAAATAATTAAAAAAAATAAAAAACACCAACATAAATAGGAACCTCAAGATAAAAGAAACTGGTAAATAATTCCAGAATGTTTTATATAAAATGTTAAAATAAAGAAAAAAACCTATCTTGAGGTTGAAACCTGGGAGAAGACAATTTTTCAATATCTTGTGTATTATTGCTCTCATTTTTAGCTACCCATCTTCCTTTGAGGAAGAGTTGAAGAATGGGTGGGACAGCCTTGATAGTCTGCTGGATAAAAATTAGATCAAGGATAGAAACTGGTACCACAGCCACAAATGACCCGATAGCAATAAACCCTTCTTCTTACCAAGAGGAGAAGCACAGGATTATCACCCTCCATATCACATTCATTTAAAAAATTCTATGTGTTTTTACTTACTTCAGGGCTCAGGACTGCAGTGCTGTCACTTGGAACATCTTCTTCATAGCCTTTATTATGAAAACTTTCTATTTCATGACCTGTACTTCCTTCACTTGGGCACTTGTTATATGAGCATCTTGGACTGTTGCAGTGGGAAAATTCACATTTACTGTCCCCAATTTCTGAGGGTGTACATGAGAGATGGGGAGAACCACTGTCATCCTGATATGGTGGTGGCTGCAATTCATCCAGTGGGGGTGTTCTTCTCATTCTCTGAATGCAGTTTCCTGATAATGATTAAGAATCTGGTCACTGTTTCTGACTAGCCTCAACATGCAGTATAAACCATAATAATTATAAATTACTTTAAAAAATCTGGATTAAAAAATTTGTGGCAACATAATTATTAGATTTACTAATGAGTTTTCTTCTTCCCTAGTTCAGACACAGAAATAAAATAATCTGGTTTCCCACCCTTCTCCTCCTGCATAATAAGATCAGGAAAAATAAAAGTCATATACTAAGAGAGATCCTGTTACATATCAGAAAAGTGGGAGAGCAATAAATATTAGTGAAATAGTTAATTTATTTAGTTCTTTTTTTCAAAACAATTGTGAAGCATACATACCTCATCTATTCCCTTATGATCTGTGGCCTCTCTAGCCACAGTAGATAAAAATATGTTAGGTAAAACAAACATAAAAACCTCATTTATTTTCTTCAATTACTGAGATGAACTTAAATTAGCATTCAGCTTAGCAGTGTCAGAAATTATTTTCCCACATGTATCCTAGATACAGAATCCTAAAAGGATTGATTGATTCACGAGGTGCACTGTGAATCAAGGCCGAATCCTCATCGGTCAGCAAAGGCTGAAGGCCGCAGCCTACAGTCTCCATCAGCAGGAGGCCACTCCCTGCCCCACTCTACTCTGCGTCTGAGTCCTCCTAAACTACGGCTCCACCTTGTCTACAGCAGGCATCGCCACCACCAGCAGTTAATTTGAAACCACATGTTCTTTCACTCTTAAATCATCCTTTTAATTTTTACCTCAATGATTTATCTCAATGACTGAGAATAACCATGTCTGTGAAGAGCACAGAGGTGGGGGCAGGAGGTAGATATAATGAAATAGAGTTCGGTATACAATTTAAGAATAGCTAAGTCTGTGTAGATAAACTGTGAAGGCAATATCAGATACTACACTTAAACACTACTCATTCTTTCTTTTAATGGACTGTGAATCTCTTTTCTCTAAAAGGACCCTGAAAAAAGGTAGTTCGTATTATAATTCTTACAATGGAGTTCAGTTCAAATATTCAATAGGTCTTCTGTTCTTCCTAAGATAGAAAAACCTCACATAAGAACTATAAAACTCATTTAAAAATCACCACAATGCCTGGTTCAAATGAAAAATATTAATTTGCATGAACTTAGCACAAAGTTACATAGTCATTCAGAAGCCCTAATTTTGGAAAAAGAATACTAGTCTTACCTACTGAGTCTAACATATTAACTTCAGTTTATAAAACATAAGCAAAAAGTAAAAAAGTTACTGAATATAGTTGAAGCTAAATTTGAGAAGAGAGATTAAACAGATATATTGCAAGTAGCAGCCAATAAAACACCATATCCCAGATTTCAGAATGGGGCTTCCAGGAAAGCTTTTGTTTTTCCAATAAAAGCAGGCAGACTCAACTGGCACCCCCCTTTCGTCCACTGGCCTTTCTCCTTCCTCTTCTCTGGAAGTGAAGCAGCCATCTTGTAACCATAAAGTAACAAGCATGAGAATGAAAGCTAAGGATGGAGATGCAGAAAAATAGAGAGTCTGGCTATTTGAAACATCACTAAGTAGCTATCTCCACACTTCTTGATGCCTGAGACAAATAAATCCTATTTGTTGAAAGAACAAAAAATAAAAAAACTGATAGTTGGATTCTCTCATTTCTAAATATCTTTTTCTACTGATAGTTTTTAAATCATTAAACCAAAAACCTTCCCTCCTCTAAAAATGTATATTTAAGCAGCCATTGAATTATAAGTTAAAATTATAAGTTAAACGGTAATGCCTAAATATTTACTGTAACATGAAGGCAATTAAAAAATTTTTGAATCTAGTGGTTCTGAGAGTCAGCATACCATCTTTTCCTTTACCTTTATTTTTTTTAAAAGAGAGGTGATCTTTCCCAGAAGACTCTCAGCACATTACCCCGCAGATCTCACTGGATAGAACTGGGTCACATGTCTATTTCTAAATCATCTCTGGTAGAGGAAACAGGATAACCATAATCGGCTTAGATTAATCAGAAGCCATCAAACTGAAGCTGGGGATGGGGTCACTTTCATTGTTTATATCTATATGGAGAAGAGTACATGCCACTCACCAAGAAAAAAAAGAGAGGAGTCAATTAACATTAGGAATGAAAGAGGAGACATTATAACTGATACCACAGACACAAAGGATCATAAGAGACTACTATGAACAATTATATGCCAATAAATGGGTCAACCTAGAAGAAATAGATACATTCCTAGAAACATACAATTGGCCAAGATGGAATCATGAAGAAATAGAAAATCTAAACAGACCAATTACTAGTAAGGATCAGTAATCAAAATCCTCCCAACAAACAAAAGTTCAGGACCAGATGGCTTCACTGGTGAATTCTACCAAACACTTAAAGAAGAATTAATACCAATCCTTCTCCAACTCTTACAAAAAACAGAAAAGGAGAGAATACTTCCAAACTCATTTTACCAGGCCAGCATTACCTTGACACCAAGGACAAGGAAACTAGAAGAAAAGAAAATTACAGTCCAATATTCCTAATGAATACAGATGCAAAAATCCTCAAAATAATATTAACAAACTGAATTCAACAATACATTAAAAGGATCATACACCATGAACAAGAGAGATTTATTCCAGGGATACAAGGATGGTTCCACATTCACAAATCAATCAATGTGATACACCCACATTAACAAAATGAAGAATAAAAATCATAGGATCATCTCAATAGACACAGACAAAGCATTTGGCAAAATTCAACAACCATTCATGGTAAAAACTCCCAACAAACTGGGTATAGAGGGTACATATATTAACATAATAAAGGCCGTAAATGACAAGCCTACAGCTAACATCATACCTAATGGTGAAAAGCTGAAAGCTTTTCCTCTAAGATCAGAAACAACACATGGATGCAGACTCTCACCACTTTCATTCAACATAGTACTGGAAGTCCTAGCCAGAGCAATTAGGCAAGAAAAGAAATAAAATGCATCCAAATCGGAAAAGAAGTAAAACTATCTATTTGCAGATGAAATATTATATATAGAAAACCCTACAGATGCACCAAAAAACTATTAGAATAAACGAATTCAGTAAAGTTGCAGGATACAAAATCAATATAAAAAATCAGTTGCATTTCTATACACTAACAATGAACTATCAGAAAAAAAATTCCATTTACAATTGCATCAAAAAGAATAAAATACCTAGGAATAAATTTAACCAAGAAGGTGAAAGACCTGCTCACTAAAAACTACAAGACACTGATGAAAGAAATTGAAGAAGGCACAAATAAATGGAAAGATACTCCATGCTCATGGATTGGAAGAATTAACATTGTTAAAATGTCCATACTACACAAAGCAATCTATAGATTCAATGCAATCACTATCAAAATCCCAATGCAATTTTCCACTGAAATAGAAGAAACCATCCTAAAATTTGTATGGAACCACAGAAGACTCCAAGACTCCAAACAGCCAAAGCAATCTTGAAAAAGAAGAACAAAGCTGAAGGTATCACACTTCCTGATTGCAAACTATATTACAAAGCTATAGCAATCAAAACAATATGGTATTGGCATAAAAACAGACACATAGATCAATAAAACAGAATACAGAGCTTAGAAATAAACCAACGCATACATGACCAATTAATTTAGGACTAAGGAGCCAAGAATATAGAATGTGGAAAAGATAGTCTCTTCAATAAAGGGTGATAGGAAAACTGGATAGCCACATTTGAAGGAATGAAACTGGACCCCTCTCTTACACCGTACACAAAAATTAACTCAAAATGGATTAAAGACTTGAAGATAAGACCTGAAACCACAAAAATCCTACAAGAAAACATAGAGGTAAGCTCCTTGACATTGGTCTTAACAATGATATTTTAGATTTGACACCAAAAGCAAAGGCAACAAAAGAAAAAACAAACAAGTGGAATTACAGCAAACTAAAAAGCTTCTGCACAGCAAACTATCAACACAATTAAAAGGCAACCTACAGAATGGGAGAAAATATTTGCAAATCAAATATCTGGCAAATATATCCAAAATATATAACGAACTCATACAACTCTATAGCCAAAAAAAAAAAAAAAAAAACGAAAAACAAAAAATCTGATTAAAAATGGGCTGAGGAACTGTATAGACATTTTTCCAAAGAAGACATCCAAATGGCCAATAGGTACATGAAAAGGTGCTCAACAGCATAATCATCAGGGAAATGCAGATCAAAACCACCATGAGATATCATCTCACATCTGTTACAAAGAGATAAGCGCTGGTTAGGATGTGGAGAAAAGGGAACTCTTGTACACTGTTGGTGGGAATGTAAACTTTTGAAGCCACTATGGAAAACAGTATGGGGGTTCCTAAAAAAATTAAAAATAGAACTACTATATGATCCAGCAATTCCATTTCTGGGTATTTATCCAAAGGAAATGAAATCACTATCTTGCAAAGATATCTGCACCTCCGTGTTCACTGCAGCATTATTTATAATACCCAGGACACGGAAATAACCTAAGTGTCCATCGACAGATGAATGGATAAAGAAAATGTGGTGGGTGTATGTGTGTGTATGTATATATATACACACACAATGAACTATTATTCAGTCATAAAAAAAAGGAAATCCTGCCATTTGTGAAAACATGGATGGAACTTGAGGGCATTATGCTAAGTGAAATAAGTCAAAGAGAAAAATAAATACTGTATGATGTCACTTATATGTGAAATCTAAAAAAACTGAACTCATAGGTACAGAGAACAGATTGGTGGTTGCCAGAGGCAGGGGTAGGGGGAGGGATAAATGGGTGAAGGTGGTTAAAAGGTACAAACTTCCAGTTATAAGATAAATAAGTCCTGGGGATGTAACATACAGCACAGTGACTATAGTTAACAATACTGTATCGTATATTTGAAAGTTGCTAAGAAAAAAAATGTGAGGTGACTGATGTTAACTAAACTTGCAGTAATCATTTCACAAT